AGATTTCTGGTCAGGTAAGTGTTTTTGGGCCGAGTATGAAAGATAATGCATGGGTACACTGACAGGAATCATCTAGGACCTGTCTTGTGGAATGATGTCCTGCGCACTCATGCGCAGCGCCCTTTCCATGTTATGATCGGCGGAGGTGATCAGATTTACAACGATTCGATCCGGGTCAAGGGCCCATTGAAGGAGTGGACGTCCATTTCCAATCCTAAGAAGAGGCGAGAATACCCTTTCAGTGGGGACCTCAGGGAGCAATGCGACAAATACTACTTTGAGAACTACATCCGATGGTATTCCACAGAACCTTTCGCCTCGGCCAATTCTCAGATCGCCCAGATCAATATTTGGGACGACCACGACATCATTGACGGGTTCGGTTCCTACACCGACCATTTCATGAGATGTGCTGTCTTCCGTGGCCTCGGTGGTGTCAGTTTCAAGTACTATTGCTTGTTCCAGCATCACACTGCCCCACCCGTCTCAACGTTCACCACGGATGCGCCCAAGACCATGGGTGCTAACTCCAATGGTACGGCAGGAGTTGATCCGCGTCAACTGAACAATACGTATGTGTACAAGAGGACAGCAGACGACCCAAGTTGGATTGTTGGCAAACGCCCTGGCCCGTACGTCGAGGAACGATCAAGAAACCTGTACATGCGTCTGGGTCGCCGCATCGCTTTCTGTGGCATTGACGCGAGGACGGAACGAACAAGGAAACAAGTCAATTATCCAGACACGTACGACCTGATCTTTGAGAGACTGGAGAAGGAGTTTAGGGAAGCGCATGGAGAAATAAAGCACCTGATTCTCCTCCTTGGTGTGCCCATCGCATATCCCCGGCTCGCATGGCTAGAAAACATCCTGACATCGCCCTTGATTGCCCCCGTTCGCTTGCTGAATAAGAGGTTTGGCTTCGCCGGAGGCTTTTTCAACTCGTTCGATGGCTCTGTTGATCTCCTGGATGACCTGGACGACCACTACACGGCGCGCCACCACAAGACCGAACGGCGCGAGTTGGTTCTTCGATTACAGAAACTCTCTACAGACTTCTCCGTTCGAGTCACTATCCTCGGAGGAGACGTACACCTTGCAGCATTAGGTCGCTTCTATTCGAACCCTGCGGATAACATGGATCCAGTCGAAGATCCGCGATACATGGCGAACATTATCTCCAGTGCTATCACTAACAAACCACCTCCTCGAGCTGTGGCGAACTTGCTAGCGCGGAGAAATAAAATTCACCATTTGAGGGATGGAAATACCGATGAGACACTCCTCAAGATGTTCAACAAACAACCAGGGGGCGTGATGAAAGGTGCCGACTGGAATCAATGCACGATGCCAAGCAGAAATTACGCATGTATCACTGAAGTTGCCGATGATGAAGACTCACAGCCTGCAAATGGTACCGCTAATGGCTCTGCGTATCCACCTTCGATCTCACCTGCGGTGAGTACAACGGGCAAGAAGGGCAAATCTCGTCCCCACACGAACAAGGGTGCGCCCGACGGACACGGATACCTACATGCTGGTGAGGAAGGGGCGGGAACAACACATCTAGCTGCAGATGGTATCAGCTCAGAGGCGGTCGGCCCGCAGCTGAGGGGGGGCCTGAATGTGGCAATCAAGGTCGAGATCGACAACCAAGACCGAGAAGGGAGAACTGAGGGATATGGGATGAGCAGTAAGTCGATACCCTTTTGTCATGCGCGCTGACAAGCCTACTAACATCTTTGATAATAGTTCCCAAGCTCACGATCAGAACTACACCTCGGACGCCAGAAACACAAACATGAACATTGCCCACGCCGGCGGTGGTATTCGCTCTTTTGGCCACATTTCGAGTATTCGATCTTTAAAAAATCATTCAGTTCTCAATACCCCTGTTATTACTAAACGCTAATTCTATTCGCGGCCTCGAAGAGGGTTCATGGTTGAAGAGCACCACCACCAGCACGAATCCAGCACCTCGCAGACCGAGCTTACAGTGTACACGCTGTGATGTGGGGTAAAGATGCCACAGAACAGTTTCGACACCAGTCGCAAAGTTTATGGAGTGTGGAGGATGGGTTGAGACCTTTGCCATCGACTTGGCCTTCGTGGCCAGCCAGACAATGGGAAAGAGCAAGGTCCCACAGCGGGGGAAGAAGAGCAGCGCTATGCTAGTGGGGAGGGATTTGTGCGTCTCTACCCACCATATTTCTCTTATGTTCACCAGGAGATGATCGAAGAGATAAGAGGAGAGAGGAGAGAAAAGGGGAGGATAATGTAATGTACTAGTACAGAGTAGAGAGACAGGTGAAGCTCGTGCCTGATGCCCTGTGCCTTAATGCCTTGTGCCCTCCGCGCTGGATAATGAGCTGTGGGGATGAACGGGCCCTTCTGACCACGGCTCGTGCAAACGTGCAAACGTGCAAACATCCATGTAACTGTCTGACTGTCCGTTCACCTTGCCCATTGAAAAGGACCCCAGTATATCCGGAAATCCTGCCCATGACTCCCCGTAGGAAGAGAACGACGTGGTGGTAGTGGTAATGTCTACGACAGGACTCGTTCTTTTTTCTCTTTTCTTGGGAGGTAGCAAGATCATCTTCATCCCTTCTCGTCCCTATCTTTTTTTGTCCCCTTCTTATCCCACCACATCCCCCCATCCCATACGACTTTTCTCCACGATATGTGACATGAAACTCACATCCTGACATGATCCTACACCCTCGACTCGTACATGTGATTCAGCGTGCCGCTCCTCTTCAAGCCCATGCCGTTGGCGTAGACATTGTCCTTTTTCTTGCTGTTGTTTGCGCCCGCCGACGACGAATTCTTGGGCGGTATCGGCGGCGGCAGCGGGCCGACACCACTGGCCCAGCGACGCTTGCGGTCCTCGTCCTCGTCGCGGCGTCGCGCCTCTGCGGCGTCCCGCTCGCGCTGTTTCGCGGCTTCGGCCTCCTCGGCGCGGAAGACGAGGCGGGGGCCCGAGATTGTGACGGTGGAGAGTTCGACCACGCCGTTGACGGGGTTCTTGGAGAACGGTGAGTTGTTGTTGTTTTTACCGCCGCCGCCGCCGGCACCGCCAAAGTCCACCCCGGCGCCCATCATCCGCACGTGCTGTCCGCGCACCAGCTCGGCGCGCATCCACTCCCGGCGAGCGCACTCGACCAGCCCCGCCGCCAGGGCGAACATGGCCCACTGCAAAAAGTCCTTGACCGTGGCGAGCGTGCCCAGCATGTTTGCCAGGTCGCGGTCGCCCGTGTCGCGGAACCGCGACTGCGGACACCACCGCGCCACGCGGCCCTGGTGGCCCGCGAGGATGGGCGCGAGCTCGCACGACGTGCACAGCACGCTTTGGGCGAACCACGTGAGCGTGTGGAGGACCGAGACGCACAGGATGAAAAACGTCGTAGTCACCGCGTACCCGGCGTCGTAGGGCCGGGGGTTTCGTGACAGTCTCGGAGATAATGACGATGTGGTACGCCCGTTGGGGTAGGGTGGACAGGGAAGGCCGTTGAGTTGTAATGCCGCCAGGTGGGAGACCGTGTATAGCAGGGAGATGAAAGGGATGGTGCCGACGTAGAATACCAGAGGTCTAATACAGGGGGGTGTTAGGTACAGCCATACATTTACAAAAAAAAAAAAAAAAGGTATCATGTCCAGGGGGGGAGACTTCTTTCCCGATCCCTCTCTGATAGCGAAGAGAAACATTGGCAGAGATAGTCCACTTACAGCCAGTTGCCCGCCCCCGGAACCATCTCATGTGACCATGCCGCATATTTCGACGAGGCTATGAGAATGATGATGGCCAAGATCAAGGAACATATGAGCAGGATGACTTGGACCGCTCGAGTTTGCATCGTTGCATTGGGCGTGGGTTGTTGCTTTTCGATGCCGATCTTGGATCTTGGATCTCTCGGGCTTAGTCGTCGACTCGAATGAAGGGATTCTGAAAAGGGACGAAAATGCCCAGCTGCGGGAGAGAGAGAGAGAGAGCGAACGAGTAGCGTCCTGCACCACGAACGGAGATATCGACGTCGATGTTTTTTCCGAGTAAAGAAGAGATCGGTATCACGCAAAAAGGGCTTTGAGAGAATGGAAAAAGACAGAATATCTGATAGCGTCCAGCGCTCAGCGCCAGCGCCTTCGAAAAGGAAAGAGAGAATTGAAAAGAACCCACAGAAAGAAGAGAAAGGGAATGGATCTGGGTCAGTCCACCTTTGTATATGATAACGAGAGTATAGGAAAGGGAAAAAAAAAGACAAGCCTACCCACCTGGGGGGGAGATGCTGGAGACAAAGAGCAAACGAGAGATTGGCGAAGAAGGCTACTGAAAGAAGAGGAGTGAGTCCCCAAGTCTGCTACAATTGCCCGGACGACAGGGTATCCGAGAGTGGTGTCCTAGTGGTGTCCTCCTGGTTCAAAGAGCCGCAGACCCATGCTCGGCGGGTAGATTCAGATCAAGATCGTGTGGAAGGGGGTGCCAGAATAGGCATGTCCAAACTCTCATGACGTGACAGTATCGAGGACGGCAGGCCGTTTGGGCCACAGTATAACATGATCTTCGCCGCTCAGGAGATCCCAGCCACGACTCCTGTAGCACATGGCGGCAGATGGGGGAGATGAACTGGATCAAGCGCGTGGTTTAGCATCAACCGGACGCGGGGACCAGACAGTTAGTGACGCAGATGAGGCTCCAGAGGATCCAAAGTCTATTAGGAAAACAGCTAAAGGGTGAGGCGCCAGCCTGGCAACGACGAGATGCGGGGGGTGTCTTGAGACCGTAGATGCAGCAGAAGTTGGTCTGAGACTGCAGGAGGCGTGAGGAGGTTGACCTTCGCGTCTCAGGTCGTGTCCCTCCGAGGCCGCGCTAGACCCAATCTGGCAACAAAGGGGGTCAGTATTCGAGCCCACGTGATTCAGACACGGGTTGACAAGGCTGAGGCCGAGGACGAGACAGGGATCTATAAGAGGGGCGGCCAGCTGGGGACAGCGTTGACAGATTATCTCAGTATGATCCTTTTCCAGTTAGGGTGATTTTCGGGATCCTTGCTGTCTTGGAATATCTCTCCGTCGGAAAGACCGTGCACGTACGCTTCCCCAAGGAGGGTGAAGGCTGGCGTGCCACCAACATCACCAGCATCCGATTCCCTCAGTACAAATGGTAACGAGCCTCCTTTCAATATGACGATATGGTCGCCTCTGGTGACATTCTTTGGCCCTATGCCCATATAGCCCTTCTGCGTCCTAAAAAATCGCCTACCGACGGCTGACCGTCGAAGGGCGACATTGTAGTGCTCTCCATAAGCTGGCTGCTCATTCCCGAAGAATTCACCCGGACGAGGATATCTATCTCGAGCAGGGAGAAGCCTTTCCCCTTCTTCGAGGCCACCGATACTGCTATCATCTGAGTTGCTGGAACTGACGTGCTTCTGGTTTTTCGCAAGTGCCCATTCAGGACAGATGCACGCCGGCTTCTCGTCCTTGATCTCAACCTCGAGAATCTCAGGATACGCCATGAGGAAGCTTTCGGCAAATCCTGCTGGCGGGACAGCAAGTTGTTGGCCTGAGATAGCTCTGTTTGCTATCAGCGTCCTCCAGAAGGCATCGAACGGGCGTTGTCCCGTGGGGTAGGTGTTGAATTTGACCCCAAAACACCACCAGAGACTCAAGAGGTGCTGTTTCATGCTGATGATGCGATGTGACTGTAGGTCGGCCTTCCCGGCTACTTCGACCACGTCGGTCTCTCCGCCAGCTCGGGCAGCTTCCATAAGCACTCTGTCGGCGAAATATGCATCAACCTCGAGCATTCCGGGAGTGCAGGCAGTAGGCAGGACTGGTCTTGTTCCCGAAGAAGCTCGGTAGTTGGCCGTTGCTGCTAGTCCGAATGACAACAGCAATGCTGGCTCTTTAGGGTAGCTGCTCCAGTCCGGTACCCACGAAGGCAGACCAGGTTGTTTCCGTGACTTGCCACAACCGGCATCAGCGAGCATGTCCAGGGAGTTTTCCTCTGCCAAGGTAAGTCGTGCAATGTCCTCGTAGATCTGTGGCAACTGCAGGTCGTAATCAACTCGAATTTCTCTTTTACCATCAACGTCTTTCAAATGCCTAACCGGCTGCACGTTTGTGGCAGCTGCCCTCGAATGAACAACGTGATATTGGTCTTTGACGAGGCCGAGTAGTCCATAGACTTTATCAGCCGGGTTGGTGGATTCTTGCGACCACGATCTATGGAGAAACCAGTGAAGGTTTTGGGCAGGACCTTGCTTTGATATGATCTTATAGTACTCCAGGAAGATGGCCACCGGTACGGGATTCCAGCCTGTGCTCTCGATAAAGGCGCCTCTGAGTTCCGGTGTCACAACCGCGGGGTCGTCGATGATTTGCAGAGGAGCCAAGCCGAACTGCGTCGATGAACTGACGAGGTCAATCCACTTGATGGAGTGGTCACCACAGAGCACTGTCGGCGGAAAAGCCTGGTACACATCCCAGAGGCAGACTTCTTGAATCACCCAAAGACGCTTGAACCAAGCCATTTCAGAGAACCGGGTTAATGCCAGAGCCTGGTCCATGGTGATGTCAGTCTTCCGAAGCTGCTGCGAATGAATTGGACCTGGTGCAACACTGTGCGGCTGCGCCAGAGATTTGTTGCGGTCATCAAAGCTCTTAGATGCATCTCTTATCATTTGCATGGCGACATCAGCCCCTTCGGGTGGATCGCCGAGATCAACAAACACCTGGTTCGCATGGCGGTAGATTTCGTGCATATTAGCGACCTGTTCTCGGTATCAGATCAAATCAATGCTCTCAGCCAATCCAAGAGATGAAACCGCCTCTCACAAGCCGTGCATCTTGGCTGTACCTACCTGGGCAGACTTTTCCTGATTATTGTCTTGTTGGATGCAAATGGCATCTGCCCATATCCGAAGCCAATTCTGCTTTTCAATGCGCCTCCATTTGCGCAGGGCTTTGTCGAGGGTCACGTAGATGTCGAGTCTCTTGCCATTGCAGTAGGAAGGTACTTTGTTGCTCACATCGCCGCAAACGTAGCTGACTTGACGGAAGATCTTCATATCAGTTTCAAGGGGAGCTTGCACCACGACTGGGTGGGAACCCACTGGCTATATACTGAGCCCTCGAGAGCGAATCTAGTCGAGTGTAGTGCAGAGCGTATCGCAGAGGCTTGTCATCCGGTCCTGGGAAGAGATCAATAACTCTGATGTACGAGTCGTTTGGAAACGGCTCATAATGAAAAGGACTGTCGTCGTCCTGAGGCTTCCCGTTCTTCTCCCAAGAACAACCCGGGCAGTTGCTATAGGTGAAGTAACGGATCAGGTTCTGGGTATCGGCGTCCACAACGGCGTCGCCCTGTACCCTGCAATGTAGAAGGACGTGGTCGCCATCCTCGCATCGCCTGTTCTCCGAGTAGCATCTCTCACAGATGGCGAAGTCTCCGCTGCGGCAGACCGAGCAGTGGTAGAATGTCCGTTCTTGAGGAATGGAATCACCACATATATCGCAGATTACGGACATTTGCGGAGACGCAGTGATGACAGAGCTCTGGAGTGGGTATTCCCGGGGACAAGGATAGCAATTACCTCTTAGTCTGACTGGTAGGACATGGGTAGGGGTGGTAATTTCTAAGAGAAGCAAGATGCTGGCAGATGAGGATTGCGGTGTTGACATTATCTCATCGACCGGATAATTCCGGCGCAGCATTTGATGCATATTGCGCAATTCCTATCTCGTCTTCAACGGGTAGCACAGGTAGTCAAATTTGTCCTGCATGTCTTGTGCGTCGACTTTAAATGAGGTCTGTGTCAAGGCTCACTAACGATATCTATGTACGTTGACAGCAGACATTCGACAGTGACCAGGGCGGAAGGTGCTATCTGCTATCTCTACAGCCATAATGTAAACGGACTGGACACCGATTATCCTGTTCTTTTCATGCACGGCGCAACAGTGAGACACGGTTTCTCGATCCCCCAAGATATCTGACTCTTACCATGCCAACCTCGCCAGAATGCCACGAGGATACTTTCTCACGACCATCTTTCTCAATTCGTCCAAAGTCAACAGTCCAACACCAAACGTCATGGGGATGAACCAGTGTTCCACAGGGACTTTATCGCACCCAAGGTAGTCTATATCAGGTATAAGGGTGAATATCAATGCGACGACGAGCGCAAATAGAATGGCCGGGAAAAGAAGCAGGTTCTGTGTCTTGTGGTTGAAAATGGGCGGGTGCGAGAAGATGGAGAGGTGGCGGGTTCGCAAGGCCATGAGGTTGAACCACTGCATCACCACGAGCGTGACGAAGTAGATAGAGCTCGCCACGGTCAGATGGTACGACACGTCGTCCTCGGTCTGGCCCGCCGGAATGGGGATGTTGCCAAAGGAGAACCAGAGCGTGCCGAAGGGGAGGCCGTGGCGCTGCAGGTACCAGAAGCTCATTGCGAACGAGCAGGTCGACTCCAACATACCGACCAAGCCGTACGATTGAAGCAACAGCCGCCAATCCACGAGACGATCTCGGTGAATATCTCGCGGGGGCCGCAGCATGACATTGGCTTCAGGCTTTTCATACGCCAGCATTGTAGCAGCGACACAGTCGGTGAAACAGCAGATGATGATCATGAGAAAGCTGGAGAGGACCTGAGGGAGACCGAAGACAACGCTCGTCATGACGGGCCAGAACTCCGAGAATGAGCCAGCAGGCAGGAGATAGGCGATGGTCTTCTTGAGGTTGTCAAAAACCACGCGGCCATACAAGACAGCCTCCGGGATGGCAGAAAACGAACCCAAGAGGACCATGTCGGAGGCTTCGATCGCAATGTCAGACCCGGAAGCCGGCGAAATGCCGATATCTGCCTGTTTGAGACTGGGCGCGTCGTTGACACCATCCCCAGTCATGGCCACGACAAAAGCCTGGGATTGGAATTCCCTGACTATGCGCAATTTCTGATCTGGCGTGGTGCGTGAAAAGACAATCTCGCTGTACTGAGTCGTCAGGGTGGTCCATTGGTGTGGTAGAAGCGTCAAAAGGTCGGGGCCCGTCAATACGATTGCCTTGTTCTCCGAGGGCAGCCGATTCGACTTTTTCTGACGTTTCTTCTCGACAACGTCCGTGGGGGGAAACCGAGGGAGGTTTTCAACCGAGTGGATTTCATTGTCGGCGACGGTGATGATACCACATGACCGAGCGATGGCTTGGGCGGTCAGCTTGAAGTCGCCGGTGACCATCATTGTGCGGATCCCTGCACGGCGAAGGGTCTGTATCACACTCGGCACTTCGTCTCTCGGTGGATCGACAATCCCCACCATCGATATCAGAGTGAGTCCGGCCCCGGCGTGTCGTAGGGCTTCAGCCTCGAATGTATTGTCATTGGGCGACGATTGCAGCATGCCCGCCGGAAGATGTTTGCGGGCAAGGAGAAGCACCCGTTTTCCCTGGCTAGACCATGCATCTTTAGTTGCTTCCATGGTTGATCGAATGCCGTCGTCCAGATTGTAGATGCCGCCATCTTCTCCGACATATCTCGTGCACCGGGGAAGGAGGATGTCCGGGGCACCTTTGATCATCAACAGCAGGTCGCGTTCAGCATTGAAAGAACCAGCCTCGGTGGCACTCATAGTCGCCGAAATTGCCGATGCGTTCTCGGGAGAAACCACTCTCAATGCGAATTTGTTCTTCGAGTTGAACGCCAGGTCGAATCTCTTGCGCCACATGTCGCGGGACTGCGTGACAGGACCAAGAGACTCCGAGAGTCGCAAGATAGCTTGATCGGTTGCATCTGCGATTATCTTTCTTTGGGCAAGAGGCAAGTGAATCGTGGTAGGGTCAAACTCCCCAGCGTTACAGACCGCCGACAACACGCGCAATTGTTGGAGTGCGGCCTTCTTTGATTTGTCGCTGGTGTCTCCTCCCGCCATGTCTTGAGATGCTTCCTCGGCGGTCATGGTACTGAACCCGACAAGACAGTCGGTCACCACCATTTGATTCTTGGTCAACGTTCCGGTCTTGTCAGACAAGAGGACGGAGACAGACCCAAGCGTCTCGACCGTCTTGAGTGACTTGCAGAGAATATTGTTCTTCTTCATGATGTTCGCCGTGATTGTGAGCGACGCTGTGAGAGCAATAGGCAAGCCCTCGGGGACAAACGCAATGGCCACACTGACAATGTCAACAATGAGGGTCGGGACATTGATGTAGCTGTGGTGTGCGTGTCGGATATACCCTGCCCAAACCGCAATGACGATGATGTTCATGAAGACCATCAAGCCGACAATGATGAAGACGAAGCGCAGCACCTCTTTCTGCAGATTTGTCCTGCCAGTTGAGGGCTGGCTGGTTAATTTGGCAATGTGGCCAAAGACGGTATCGTCGCCGGTAGACACCACAATGCCAACCCCACTGCCGGAAGTACAGTGAGTGCCTTGCATGCCGATACATCTTGTCTCGAGATAATTGGGCTCGTGGGACTCGGTGACGGCGGCCAACGGGAACGATTCTCCTGTCAAGATGCTCCTATCGAACTTGGCGTCGGTGGAGACATCTATGTACCGAATGTCGGCTGGCAGTTTATCACCCGCTTTGAAGTAGAGGACGTCACCTGGGACAACGTCAGGCGCTTGGATTGTCTGCTTGCTTCCATCGCGTAGAACATGGCAGGCCTCAGGCAGCATGCCTGTGATACTGTTCATGACCCTGGACGACGAAAAGTCTTGCCAGGCATTGAACGCTGCCTGGATGAAGAAGACTGCGGCGAGAACGATACCCAGAGCAAGATTGGCCACAGCTGGCGGTTGACCCAGGGGTTTCCAAGAGACAAAGACGAGGATGCTGCCGCCTAGCAAAATAGAGCCGAACCCTCCAAAGAAGTAGCCGAACAGCTTCTGGGCCAACCTCGAGGGCGGAGGGGAAGGCACATTGCGACCATATTGTGAAAGCTTTTCTTTGACGGCCGCGGGCAACAGACCAGTATCGGTGGAGGTATTTAATCGATTGCAAATCTCTTGGAGGGTGAGTAGATGCCACTCAAGCCCTCCCACATCTGGAAGAAAGGGGAGCGGTTAGTCGATCTCCAGATATGCAGAAGATATCATGGCTCTCTCACCAATCGCAGCCTTCTCACGGGCATTCTTTGCACTCTCTATTGCCTTGACATTGGTGATATCATAGCTGAGTGTACGATATTGAACTGGCAGGATGATGGACGGGTCGATGGTACGTTGTCCACTGCGAACGCTGGAAAGCGAATGCACAGAGTAGGTCGAGCCTCGCCTCTTCAATGGATGACCAATGTCGGTGGCAGCAGATGGACCACCGTTCTCCTCGTCATCGTCCATGTATCGGATACGGCGTTTTGCTGCGAGGTTAGGGTTAAGGTCTTCGTCGTCGTGGTTGGACGCCTCCACGACCACAGTGGCCTTCTCAGTGCTGTCGCCCATATCGTCTGTGACGGCCATGTTGACAAGATTCAAGGCAATGTTTTGCCGGAGATACGAGCTGGACGCAGGGCTGGGAGGGAGAGGTGGGAGGTGGGAAGAAACCGCAATGTGTGGAAGGGAAACTCCTGCTCTGACCTACCTTGATATATGCGCTGGCTCCATGGCTGGGAGCACATGCATGGCTCCTCCAGCTTCCTCTCGGTAAACTATGCAGATGAGCAAGGTAGAGCTGCGCGAATTTGGCGAGGTCAACAACGCCCATGGAATGAATGGCCAGTGCATCCAGGGCGACAAAGCTAACAAAGGCGCACGGGCCCCACAGCCCAAACCGATGAACAGGGGAAATATGGAGAAGTCCCAAACAGGATCTGGGTGAATAATATTATCATGCACGAGCCAGGGACAAAAATGCCTCAAATTTAACGAGAAAAGGCAAGTCAAAGGCTGGAAAGATGGGAATGATGTGGTGGGATGGTGGAGCGCAATAGAGAAGTTCGGACGCAGGAGGAACGTACCTGAACAATGTTGCCTGAAGTGGCTTAGATGCCACAGAACGCTTCTGTTCCGTCTTACCGGGAAACTCCTCCGTGTCCTCGTATCCAGGGTGAGTTTGGCAGTCAGAGCCACCCAAACTCTGCTTGCGAAAACTCAGTATTCGGCAACGTCCAGCGCTCGACCAGTCCTAGCGTGTCTGGCGTGGCTATGCTCTGCGTGCGACGCGAGCCATTGGTCTCGGACCTGGTCAGCTTTTCACGCTCATCTCCATATCAAATGAGAGGATCGTGGATGCACTCTTGAGCAACACACCTCCATCCAAGTCCACGATTTAGTCTTTGGAGACAGTGGGCAAAACTGGGGATTGGCGACAGGCAGATTTTCCATTAGCCAAAGTCCACACAACGCCCGTGCGAAAGCAGGATTTCGTAATACGAGTATGCATTCCCTCCAGCTCCTCGTTGATCTTCTGGTCCTGGCCAAAGGCCGCGTGCAATATCCCTTTTCCATCGTCGCACCAAGAGTCCCTGGGAAGATCCACAAGATGATGGGCTCCGGGATTCGGTGAAAAAGTCCTTCAGGGTGTCTGCCGGAGAAGGATCATGCCCACAAAACCTGCAAGTCAAACAGCAATTCCAGGAAGGAGAAAGAAAAAAGTAAACTGCAGTATGAGGCATTTTTGATACCACTATCACAGCCAACATACACGTGGGCAAGCAGACCGAATCCAATCTCAAGTAGTCATTTACCTACCTATAACCGTAAAGGGTGATGTGGGATGTCCTGTATCACCTAAATCCCACCGTCGTTTTTCTTGATGTCATTTTTTTCTCTCGAGCCACTTTGACCGGAGTGATAGCGTGCAAGACGTGATTTGAATTGTAAGGGAATTGTTGAAACCAACGTCGAATTCGCACATAAGCGACCCAGTATCTAAACTGTCTGCCACTGCGGAGGGCTACACGTTACTCGCTAATCGATCTCAGGATGTGGTAAGAAGGGCCAACGTCGACCTGTCACAGCAGCACTAGGGTCCGTGCTTGCTGTCTTAGTCCGTGGGAAGTATTCAGGACACAGGATCCCGTGGGAGTGTCCGACTTCTCGAGATTGCTCTTGTCACACGAGACAAGGCCCTCGGTTCTACCTATAATACAAGTGGGCTTGTCCTGTGAATCCTCTGTGAGCATTGGGGAGGCTCAAGTGATGCACTTGAGGACCGGAGATCTCGTCCAATTGTACTTGCACCCTCAGGTGTCGCCTCTTCACGGCGGAACAGGACCTCTGTATGACGGGTCGTCCTCTGCGGTGGCTACCACGGCCGATACTCTCACTGAATGGCCCCCCAAAAAAGACAAGATAGATTTGCATCCCTCAACAGCTGACAGCCGTGACACCCTACTTCGCGAATGTGGCCCTGAATGCATGGGAAAGGTACCTCGAACAAGTTCCCGGTAGATAGGTATTTGGGTGGCTTCTATTGGCAGGTCCATCCACCATTGTAAGGAGCTACCCAAGGATTAGGAATTTTGTTCCACTGAGCTTCAAGCCATGCCCTGTACTGTGTTGAGAACTTCACAGACATACGATACACCTGAATATCGCCGCTGGTAAGGCCTGATATGTTCGATTCAGGCGCAGAGCGCAAAACTGACAAATATGCCGAGAGTGGGGCAGGTGGCGCAGGTGGCTGAGCAAACCTCGATTTTGTGCGATGACATTCAATGCGACAAGGGACTCAACAGCCTGCAATCCTGCTTTGTCTATACAGAGGGTTGCGGAACCGGGTTCTACCCTAAGATATTTAAGTTTCTTTATACTGATAGGCAGAGGGTAGCGATAGGTAGCAGGTAGGTATAGGTATTCCTTGATAGTATATCTTGACTAAGACTCAAAGCATGAGGGAAGGAAAGGGAAGCTTTCCCCAGGCCTCTTGTAGTTTCGCACTCGGCGCAGTTGCCTCATCGGGCTAGGCTTATAATCCAACATATTTATCAATAGTGTCTTTGGGAGGTAATGAATGTAAGTAAGATTTAATCTGTAAAGTCCAAGGTGGATAATGAGTGTAACTTTGGTAGATCCACTTGCCAATGGCGTGGCCGGGAAAGGAATGTATCGTGGCTCAGTGTGTCGGTCTGTTGATAGCATAACTGTAACGAATGGGAGGTGCGTGCACTGCGATCCGTTGTGACAAGGGTGACGCTCATTGAGATAGATTCGACGAATCCAGGGGCTTGAGTAACCTGCTTGCTCTGCATAGGGAGTTCGTAGCACGCATTTGGTGTTTTCAGTGGGTAGGGGTAGCATGCTAGCTGGCGGTCGAGCCCTTCTAGGCCCACGCGCCGACCAGACTCATGGCAAATGCGCCAGCGAACACCAACAGACTGGCAAAGACGCGGCTCTTGCCTCGAAGTACATCCCAGCTGTGATCGCTAAGAAAGTCTTCGGAGAGAAGCTCGACCAGTGATGCGAAGGTCAAAAGTCCTGCAGAGATGGCATTCATAGTGCCCACGAGTAAGAGGCCCGTCTCGGAGCTGGGGCTGTACAGCGAATGAGTGGCGAGACCGATGGCTTGTCCGAGTGGGGTCCTGGTCGCCATGTTAGAAAGCATCCACCACACCGAGACAGAGTGAGACTCCATACGTGCACCCATACGCAAGAGCCATGAACCATGGCTGCCATGTTCCCATAGGCCAGTCAATGTCGGCAATGCGAGATCCTAGAGCGAGACCTTCGAATGTTTCTAATTAATGTACGTTAGTTCCAAACCGATTTGTGCAAGGCTGCTTCGGTATACTTGCGATGAAATGCAATGGCAATCAGAAGAACCACGAAGTCACTCCCGGTCGAGACGCTGAGAGCCATGCCAATAAAAACGCTGTGGAAGAGGATACCGATCTCTAGGAGAACACATTGCAGCCGGGCTTTTCGGAGCTTCTGATCTCGAGTCAGAGTACGCATGGCTTCCGCACTGGTGCCATCGTGTTCCCTGTGAGAGGATGGCCGAGCGTTAACTTTAGAAGAGTTCATCTCTTCGATTTGATCGACATCGCGTGGATCGTTGACTCGAGAGAGGCTGCGACCTATACTCGATTGTTTCCCAACCAAGGGACCCATATCGCGCAGTGGTCCGGTCGGATCTGTCTGCGATGGGTTACCATGAGAGGCATCAGTGAGAGCGTGGTCACCCGTAGGATGGTCTTCAAGCCTCGGACGGATCCGCCGACACGGGTGGAAGATCATCTCGACGAGGATAACTAGAAAAATCCCAGCCAAAGCGATGGCGCCGGGCATGGCAGGATAGTCGTCATTCCAGAAGCCAGTCAGACAAGGATCTCCCAGAGATATGAAGGCAGTCGGGAGAAGATGGACAAATGCGGTTGCAATAAGAACACCTGTGCCAAAATGTCGAATCACGAAGAAGAAATGTGCTGGAAGTCGGAGGCCCGGAAAGCGGGATGCCAGCATGGCAAAGGAGCAAGCCAGGGTCGAGACCAATAGGATGATGAACAAAGCACCAACATGAAGCGGGGTGTTGTAGAGGTCCTCATTCGCACTGTCGTCGGGGCAGGTAGACCTTTTTCGCACGCTCGAGGTGGATGCTGCCAGAGAGTTCGAAGCATAGGCAGAAGCCGGGCCCTCACTGAAGTGTCCTAGGTACGCATGATAGGTCTGACCGATAACAGAGAAAGAGAAAGAGGTGACGGCGACGGACAATCCCCAGGTGGTCCAGCTCCAAAGGGCCGACACTGCAGGAGCCGGAGTGCTTGGGGGAGATGGAAGACGGTGGCGGCCATCACCAGCGGCAACCGTCTTAGGGAGCGAGGCAAGTCCTGTGGAAAGAAGCCATGATCGGCGTCAGGTCTTAACCCACGAATGTTGGAGAGAAGACACAGCAGAGCAGAGTTGAAACTCACCATAAGGAAGCCCCGCAGTGGACGCTGCTGGAATAAGGGCGTCAGGAGGCCTGTCGAACAGACAGGTTTTGACAGCCGGAGGCAAACCGTCTACCCTGTCATCATCACAGGCAGCCTTGTGCTCTCGCGAGTTGGCGATGCCGTTAAGGTCCTGACGGGTCGTGAGGTCCGCGGCCAAATCAGGCGGATTTTGGTTCCAGGTTGGATGTTCTAATTCGACGTCGTCGGTTCGGGATGGACAATTCATGGCGAAAAACGAATACAGTGGATGGGAGGAAAGGTAGTCAGATAGACTGTAAGTCAGAAGAACTGCTGAATCTGTGTTTCCAGAGCTTCAGATGGAATGTTGGAAGATCGTTCATTTCTTAGGGCACGTCGCAATGTCCTCGGCCGCGGGAGATTCCGGACCTGGCGTCCCAGTTGGCACATGAACGCCAAGACGCTATGGATGGGAATTCCATCGTGGAGAAGGGATGTGCTCAGGGTTCGCCGAGAAGATCTTAGATGACTGAGACAATGTAGTTGGCCTAGGCTGCTAATGTTGCAGCCAAGGTTGCTCAGACAAACAGGCTGCCAAGACCTTGTGTATAGACCTCGCAGCAAGTTATCCTTGGCAGACCAGCATTCCGACCAATCAGAATAAGGCAGTGATCTCAACCACACGTGACGAAGTTGGACGGTAGGGATAGGCGTTGGCATCAACTATATACAGTACAGTCGTTCCCGAAAGTCCAGACACATTGCAACTTTGTTTCAAGCAGCCTGACAGTGGACCGCCCTTTTGAGGGTACAAAGGTACTTGGAAATTGCTAAGCACAGAATGAGGGTGGATGGTATTGTGCGCTGCGCAATTGGACCAGGAATACGAGGTGACTGCCAATCTATCGATCCAATCAGGCCACATATGCTTTGCACCCACGCCAGTACAGACAATCAGACCAAGTTCTCCCGTCGGACATTTCCTGCTGCGTGTGTGCGATAGTAAACCCTCTTGATCCACTTCCAGAGTTCGCAGCCAGAAATGAAGACGGCCACGGTAACAAACACAATCGCCACTCCCACCCAATCCCATCATGCTTGAAGACGTCAGTGTTGAGGACAGGAATATAAAGAGTAGGAAAGACAACCAGGAAGACCAACGTGACTGCGAAAAAGAGAAATTTGTTGCCCCAGATGGTACTCATCCAGCCTCGAATACCATCAGTCATGTAGAAGAAGGATCGACGGAGATCAATGAGTTCCCAGGCAAAGAAAACAAAGATCCATGTCGTGGCCGCATACACAGGCCCCCGGGCGCGACACACGGGAGTGCTTGAGTCAGAATAGGCGAGTTGCAGTCCGTCCCCAGAGCCCCGTTAGCACATCCCCAGATTACGAGTGTAAAAGGTCCAAGGGTGCAACCTGCTTCCACAAGGCCGTAGAACAGCATGTCGCATAGAAACTCCGGAGTGAAGACACCATATATAAGCTTGGACGATGTAGTCAGGCCAGAAGAGTTAAAGGAGTCTTGGGCTCACATTCATTGATTCGGGCCGAGGAGGGTCGTAGATTCCAAGCAAACCTACAATGGTAAGGTCTCTCTCAATATGCTCGCAGTGTGGTGTGTTGCTCCCCATAAAGCCCCTTCTGTGAATTGAGAATCGTGGAGACGGTGAGCAAATGCAAGAACTCGAAGTCCCTGACTAGCCAACGCTTCCATGTTGGTGGTAACGTCCTGTCGGAAGCATTTTGTCAGACGCTCGATGTCAGTCTCCAAGGCTATCGTGTTATAACTGGCCAGCACTCTTTCAACGGCACCCTATAAAGTCCATTAGCAATCGACGGACTGACCTTTTAGATGGTGCCACTTCCCACGTGCCACAAACGACAAACGGCATGGTTGGCTGTACCTCAGTCAAGACATCTGTTTGATGGGTGGAGGGCTCTTTAAAAAAGAACGCTCATCCTCTTGATTTCAGAATCAAAAGGGAAACTCTGCAATCTGCTTCTACTCTGCATCTGGACCTTGGGAGAGCTGGCCGCGTTGCCAGCCAAGTTGTTGGGCGAATACCTCCGTTACAATGTCAGTTGGTGTTCCGGACCCTTGGCAAGCGCCATTATTCCCCTCGTCCTCCTCCTCTTCCTCCCTCTCCTCCCTCCCATCAACTGCTGTTGTTGTTTCTCTTGCCAGGGTTGCTATGTACGAGGTAACCGGAGATAAATACCGCGGTCATTTGAACCTAGGTGTCATTCAAAATAGCTGGAATAGGACTTTTAGTGCGCGCCTCCGTACAGAGAAGATACCTATAGATTCGTTCCGGCTAGTAAGCCATTCCTTAACCCTCAGCGATCACTGGTGGTTCTTGATGGATGACTAAATGTAAATAGATAACTTACCCCGCTTAAGTAGGCTTAATGACAGCACTATCTTTCGAGGGTAGAAACCGCATCTGCAAGACTGCGTACCCGCAACTCTGTGTCTCTGTGTCTTTGGTTATCTTCAGCTGACTAGACGGAATTCTCGGAGAGATGACTAGCACAGGCAGGCGTCTGTCTGGGCAGCTCGTCCTCAAATGGGGCTGGAAAGGATGTAACGCTAAGCAATACGGGGGGCTGCGACCAATCTGTCGTCAGATCGCAACTCGAGAAGAGAGAATAGGAGATGACAAGAGATGACACTTTCAGGCACTGTCGAAACCCCTCTCGTCCTTTTGCCGGGGGACCATTCTGCCGGGATCGAGACGGCAGATGATGGGGCTCATCGAACGTTGAATCTCATTGATCTGTCAACCCCAGGCACGGATAAGACCCGTGGATCAATGCCGTCCAGTTCCTTGTGGGTGTGTCATCAGAAAAACCCCACGACGATGAGATAGAAGAGTGTGGAAGCAGGAATGAGATGGTAATATTGTGTTCGTCCCCCATTCCCCGTCAACTTGCATAAGACAGCATCATCTCTTCTCTTCTGGTTGTCTCGCCTTGTTTCTGGACAAGGCCTCTGATGTCCTAGATCTCGATTAATCTGTCAGCAGCAGATGTCACCATCCCTTCCTACCCTGATCCTCTGCCATGGCGCCTGGCACACCTCAGAATATTGGAACACGGTCCTAGACGACCTCGAACAAAAGGGCTATAAATGCATAGCGCCGACAATCATCTACAATGGTGGAGAAAAGCCAGTTCCATCGATGGCACCTGTTGTGGCTGCTCTGCAAGAAGTCATCGCTGATGAAATCGGGCTGGGCAACAATGTAGTCTTGGTCAATCACTCCATGGCTGGTATGACAGGTTGCAGCGCTGTCAGGGGCTTCACAAGAAAGGACCCATCAAAACGCAGAAGTGACAACTCTGGCTATGTCACAGGGTTAATCCAGATCACTGCATGGACACCAACGAAACATGAAACTTCTCTGGCCGATTTGAGTGAGGACTTTGCACGAAGACACCCGGAGTTCAAGATGGCTCGAATGAAGATCAAGATCGACGACGAAGGCTGGTCCGAAGTGCAGGGCGAGCCTGCAGAATACTTCTACAACGACATGCCTCGCCACAACGCAGACAAATGGAGCTCCAAGCTCATCAAATTCTCGGCAGTAGTGCGGAATGCGCGGGATTCTGTTTACGCCGGATGGCAAGACGTGCCCGTCTGGTATCTGATATGTACCATGGACAATGCGATCAAGAAAGAGCTGCAAGAGGATATGGTGCAGACATGCCGAGCACTCGGTGCCAACATCACGACGAGGGAGTGCGAGGCTGGTCACTCACCGATGCTGAGTAAGCCTGAGGAGACGGTGGCCTTCATTGAGGATGCTGTGAGAGCGTTTGGAAGTGTGTCCGCTTAGATGTGGTATCTCAACCAAAAGGTTCACCAGTAGTAAAGAGTGTCAGTTAGCGGTGAAGGACATGGCTTCCAGCAGAAACATATGCATGTCATATTATCTGGCAGCAGCCATTCGATAGTAGAGTCGACTCAAAGGCGTGATTGAGCAGAGTGTTCAACGGCTTATCGAGTCTGCCAGACGATAAAAAGGTAAATGGCCTTAGTTCCTCCTTTATGAAACGCGTGAGAAAGCCTCTTGAGTCGGGACGGAGATTTTGTCATTTGTCACGGCCCGACCATCCGGCTAGCCTCAGGAACAGAAAAAAATGGCACAGTCTGACAGAGATGCCATCGTGCCTAACGAGGTTACCTTTGAGTCAATAGTGAATCGCTCCTCGACGATATTTGTTGTCAGACTGTGCCACTTATCTTGGACATCGGCTCGCCGGGTCCTTTCTTGGCCAGTTTCGGCGTTCCTAGAGGTCAGCTCAAACCCCTGGTCAGCTGAAACCAAGAGCATAGAGAGCCACTGCGATCTCAACCTGTCTGACGTATACGCGAGGGATTGAACAAAAGTTCAGCCCGTTACGACCGTGCAAGCCAGATGTGGGCAACATCCGATGGACATTTCAGCCACAGGGACGGTTGTAGGATTTTCCTGACACGTGGCTGCTGTGCCGTGTCACTTGCACAGCTTAGAGTACGGTCGGTTATGATTTCTTAAATTTGTCCATGTGTACCAAGGCGATGAATGAGCCTTGACAGAGAACAACATTCAACAACGTGTTTAGACCAAGCACTGACCGGGTGGGGGAGCATTGGGATCTGCGGTTCGCGAAATCACGAGTTCTTTGACGATGCTTGTGAGGAAGAGGAGAGAAGAGAAAGGTACAGAGCATCGAAGACAAGGCGACTTGTTCGTAGTTTGGGGCGATTGTAGAGGCAGCACATCTGATGATCTTCCCAACCCATCTCTTTGAAATCGCCAGTCCCTGCATAGTGAGGAATGGCGTGGGGATAGCCCAAGTCCTACCCGCACTCAGCACCAGGCGCTCTTGGGCGATCGAAACTTGGCACAGGCTGCGGGACCCCATAAGGTTATTGCTTAGAACTGGAGTCAGCGCAGGTTGCTTGACCGGCGGGCGAAGGGGGATCGGAGAGCAAGATACAGCGACGGGCACGGCAATGTTGTCGTCTTCTTTGCCGCCTGACCGCCTTATTGTGCAGGGGATGTTGGGCTCTGAACGCGTTATCCACGCACATGTGAGTAACCGTAGAAGCGTAGCGAGATGTGCGGTGTACGGAATAGAAGATCCTCAAAGATGTCATGATTGAACCGAAAGAGCAGGGGGGTGATGACTACTGCTCCGGCGGTAAGTTCAACAGGCTGTGGATGGATAGGTAGCAGGCAACCACGCAAGCAATGATTCGAAAGGAACAGATAA